GGATGTTTATTATTTGAAGTAGGTAACTTTGTGGTTACTGCCACCTTTTCTTTCAGATGTCACATTAATTAATCACATTGAACATTGAAACGGAGACAACCTATACACAGCCTATGAAATCGGCGTTAGAGTATTAAGGGTAAGTATAGCTCTGCAGCGACTACAATCTACATTGTGCAAAAATTTGAGGTTGGAATTTTTATGCATGGCCAGAGCAACCCCCTTCACTCCCACGGAGTGAGTGGAGATAATTTATCCCCACACAAGGCAAAGGTGATTACTCCACACCTAAATCATATCGTCCGATCAGTTTGATGTCTTTTTATCCTTAAGACACTTGAAAGATTGTACAATAGATAAATAAGGAATACGGCTTCCGCTGCACCCTAACAAACACCCATACTCCCCAGTGTTCTATCCTTCCCAAAATTAAAATCACCGTTTTATTCTGACCGCGTTGTTCGAAAACGAAGCAAGTTAGAACATACGATTAAATGAAAAAAATTTCTTACTTTTGTGTGATAAATACGCCCTTAAAATCATTGCACTCAATTTTGAATCACCCTGTATAATAACCGTTCAAAAACTCTGGAAAACTTACAACTCTATTTTAAGTGACCTTTTTATTATTGACACGCGTTGACATCCTCCCCGAGAAACACTTTTCTTCCAGAAAATGTTTAAAGCGAAGTATATTATACAGGGTGAGTTTTTCCGATGTTTAGTATGGGGAACTCGTAAACCGTAAGAGATACAAAGTCGCTTAAAAGGGCAAAGAATTGAACCATATCAACTTTCTTATTTCTTATGGACGCCATATTGGATTTAGATTGGATAATTCCATGGCCGCGTCGATGGTTTCAATCATAATCAGCTATGGAATTATATTGTCATAAGAAATACATTTTAAACTTCGAGGCAAAAATGCGAGATTATTGTTTCCCAAATGAAATGCTAAGTGTTTAGTATCGCTGATTTTACAATTTTTTTTCTCTATCGAGTTACATAAAAATTCAATATGGCGTCCATAACAAATAAATCTGATGTACTTGAAACTTACAAGTGATAAAAATTTTCTTAAGCACCGTCATAAGGCTGAGAAAAAATTACTAAGGGTTTGTTAACACTATTTTTGACATGTTTTAAAATAAATGCTTATTTTTACAATTAGTAATGTAAAATTTTGTCAACTTAATAACGTACCAAATTAGCCGAGTCACCGACAAATCAAGTATCTAGTTATATTGTGTGTATCATAGCAGTTTATTTAAATGTAACCAAAAACAATGATTTTGGGCGGGTTCCAATGGGCGTTTGCTGGAAATGTTAACCATTCAATGGGTTTTTATAACAATGCTTAGAATTAGATAAGATTTAACTTTCTGTGATTCCGTGCCGAGTGTACGATCTGTATTATATACATTTGTGTTTTGTTGAATGCGCTTTAGGCTGTACATATACCCATTAGTTATATTATATTATATTATATTCGGCTATTTTAAATTTTGTATTGCGCACCAGGCTACATACGCAGTTGCAACAGTTAAAATCTCTGCTACTCGGTATATTTGTGTCGCGGTAATAGAAGGAGTAAGGGGGGTAATTTTATGTTCGTAGGTATGTTTTATTCAAGGGCTGTGGGGGGGAGGGGATTACGACCTAGTCATAGTTATGTTAGAATTGTTGGTATAATTGTTTTTAGGGCCCTGGGATTCACCTAGCTGTTCCTGTTTGGCTCTTTTTAGTAATTTACATGTTCTTTACATAGATTTATATAATTATCAATATTTATTATATCGTATCGGGAACTATTGTGTTGGTGGTAAATATAGAACTAGTCAAGTTATATGTGCCGTGTTTAATTGTTGGTATTTGTGTGTGCCAAGTTGGTATTGCAAATTGGATTTCCAGTTCACCCAATTGGGCAAACTTCCGACTGTATTCCAGTCAGAATTGGTAGGACTAACGCAAGAAAAGTTTTTATGCATAACAGCAAGAACAAAACTAACAGAATCAGGGCCGCCCTGTAGGCATTTGGTCACTGTAAAATTACCTCTAGGTTGGTTTCCGAATGTCACCATGCACTAGAGCAAGTAGCAAACAGCAACACCCTTGAGATCATATGGGTTAAAGGGCTTGCTGGACCGAAAGGTAATAAGAAAACCGACTGGCCTCAAGACCGCTGTTTTATCGCCCAGAGTTGGTTCTTCCACTTACAGTTGCAACTGTAAATAACTTGTAACCCAAGATAGCCAAACCCAACAGATGGCTAAGTGGAACTTGATGTTATATTGTCGCCATGCAAGAGAGGCCTTCAGAGGACCATCTCACAGATGACAGATTTTTGCACAAGCCTATCAAGAATGAAACCTGACGTTACTTGTGGGCATACCTTTTGGGCACTGTAACCTAAACAAGCCAATGCACTCCATGGGTTTGGTAGAATCATTATCTTGCACAGGATGTTACATAGACGATCCATGTTGGGGGTATTCAGGCCGGACATAGTAACGATTAGAGCCGCTTACCCTTCCGGCCTCCATAGGTGTACTTCACGTGTCGGATGTCTTGAGTGACGTTGATGGGGGGCTTTATCCACCGCCTATCATAATCCAGAATCCAGAATCCAGATAAATCAATTTACAGAGCAAAAATTTAGCACTAAAATCATACATATCCATTTCTCCCCTTGCCTTAGAAACCCTGGGACTTTGGTGCATTGATGCTGTTGATTTCGTTGATGAAAAATTGAAAGCCATTAGCAGTTCGGGTTGTAACCGTCTCCGGTATACTAACTTAAGTACAATAAAATTAGAAATAAAATACTATGCGAGTTAGGTAAAACTTAGTCCTTTAAATAGATCACTTATGGGACATCATTTCGTAATATTCAAGCTTTCCTAATGATGCATCGCTTAAAATCGCTTAATCCAGTTAAAACTTTTAACTGGAGCATAAATGTTCCGTTAAAAGTATATGTAAACTATAATTGAAAACAGGAAACACCACTCTAGCGAAACGTTCTAACTCACATATACCCTTATCGTGTTATGTAAGAAATTTTCATTTAGCTTTAATACACGTATAAACTTCTTAAACTATCATTAAATATTTTAAGTGCGTGCAGTACGTTATCAGGAGGTGCCCTCAAAAAGTTTATTTAAATAGATTCCACTTCTCGTGCATTTTCCTGGGTGAACACGACAAAAATCTAATCTGTTAGACATGAACGCTCACAATAGTCATGGATAAAACGCCCTGAGAAATTATTCGGGACTATGAACCAGCGACAGAAGGTTATATTACTTTAGTAACTGAATATATCCATCGTTACTAATGATATTTGTCGTCCAAATATATGCATCCTTAATAAATGGAGAACAAGATCTGATAGTCTGCTGCGGTTTCCACTAAACATGTGACTGTCGACGGGCACATATTTGACGTTGAATTTGTTTATTCTGTGTGCCTTCTTGATAAATATCTTTTCAAGTTTATTGGTAATTGTAGTGCGAATTAGTAATACTAGTTAAATAGCATTAGGTATATCCCAAAGGACTAAAGTGTGTGTTTTAATTCTAAGGGTGCCCGCGACGCTATTTTTTCATCCCTTTGAAAAAGAGATGGTTTTTTTCAGAAATCGTGAGATCTTGGAAACGGTTCAACTTTATGGGCTCAAAAATTATCTTCGTTTTTATCATAAAACAAGCTATGTTTCCTCCAAATGTATCTATTTTTGTAATTCGTGTTGTGTACCGGTGTGAAAAGAGCGGTCAATTCTGGCGCCCAAAATTTCCGAACATACCCGAAGCGAAAATTGACCTGGCCACGTAATTTTTTTGCTTTTATTCATTTTCCTCTAAATACTGAAACAATTCTATTTACAATTAAGTAGAAAACCCTCTCATCATACCTCCAAAACGCCACATACTATCACGATCAAATTTTCGTAGATGGTTAATGATAGTGCAAGAATAAATAATCAACAAAAATACCTAGGTGCAATGCCCTCCAAGGGGTTGAAATAGTCACCCCCTGGTCGTAACTCGAAAACGGCACATACTATCAAGATCAGATTTGCCTCCCTGGTTAATGATAGTTCGAGAATAAACAATCAACAGAAATACCCAGGTGCACTGCCGTCCAAGGGGTTTGAAATAGTCACCCCCTTGTCGTAACTCGAAAACGGCACATAACTATCACGACCAAATTTTCGTAGATGGTTAATGACAGTACGACAATAAATGATGATGATGAATAAATGACCTAGCTTTTAATCAGATAAAAAATCATCTGATTGGTTAGAATTTGAAACAATCACCAAGCTGATTGGTCGTATATTAATGGAAGTGTATTAATCGATTAAAAATTCTAGAAAGAGGATGTCATACAATTTGTAATAAACTAAAATTGATAAAAATGTAGTGGAACTCAAAAAAAGATAACAATCCTTATTGTATTATTCACAATTTCGCTCTAACAAAGTAATTAGGTTTGCGTAACCGTAACATCTGTCATAAATGGAGGAAGATTTTGAAAACGGGTCTTACTACTTGCTGAAAAAATTAAAGAAACCATAGTGAACATTCGAGCACTAAGGTGATTTTACTCACAACATCCCATAATGAGATATCGCATTTTTATTGAGTTTGCCAACATCACTCATAGGAGATTAATGATGTTAACTAGTAGTTGATGCGATCATCCAGGAGATGACACTATTCCGGTTAGCTCTCATAGAGTAACCTACAATCTAGTAATAATTTTTGGGTATATGATGGAACAAAACTGCCCTTCATTTTCAAAATCTTTGGAATATTGGCCAGTTTACGTTCAAAACGTAAATGCACTAGACCATTAGCAACAGCAACGTCATTTACGTCACGTTGTATCTGTAATGTTTATCACCATAACAACGTAGATAAGAGAAAACCAATAATTGTGTTCTGAAGAGAAAAAACAGATAGGAAGTAGTACTAAGTAGTTTAGTTTCATTTTTCTTTCCTTTACAAAATACGTGTTGAGCTATGTAGTTTTCAAAAAAACAATTTCGCTTCCTATCGCAATTTAATTTGAGCGGAACCTGTCCTTGAAAGGGGTGCGATCAGTGCCAGAAACAAAACTGATGATAGTTTCGGAATAAAAGGTGAAAAATTGTCTATCAAGAAATAATTCTCTACGTTTTTGTACACTACATATTTGCCTAATTAAATTAATTCTGATAAGAGAATTTTCACACACATTTAACGCTACAGTTACTATGGTTAGCCCACGTACATTTGTGCTTTTTACGTTTCTTGTTTTCTGGGTTTTTGGGTCAATGGCAAGTAAGTAATGAAACGTTTATTATAAAACGCCAATACCGCATTTCGTTTTAGTAATGGAGCCAACTCAAGGATGTAACGAGACCAATATCCAAAACCAAAGGGATTGCAATGCAGTTTGTCTTATGTACGGTCACACAGGCGGATTCTGCTCGCTTGACATCTGCATTTGTCACTAGTTATCAAATACAGTTTGGTTTTCGGATTTATCCCAAGGTGAGCTGTGTTGAAGTGTTATGCGATTCTGCGAAGGCCATGACGTTGGATAGACGGTGAAAACGCTCCATGTTTAATATATATTTGCTTCATTGTAACATAAAAAAACTACATCATAAACTTATTTTGTTCTAGATTCAAATTACTACAATAAACAAAATTAACTCACTTTATCTACGTGTGTGGAATAAACCATGGATGAACAAATTAGTGGTATTCGGTGTTGTACGTAATATGTTGTATTGTGACATATTCTTTACAATACGCCGTTGCTTTTGCATTCTGCAGGTACCAATTTTTCTTCTGCTTCTGCAATAAGCCACTGAATGAACGGTTTTTCGACCGAAGGCATTTTATTTACAAAGACGGTGATTTTATAAGCAAACGTGACATTGCCATGGCAATCATGGAATTACTAATAACCATCCCACTCAATTTTAAATGTATTCGAGTATAAACGTCAAATTGATTTATATTAATCTTATTTCCCTTATTTTTAATTTATATTGCAGACGAGATTGCAGATATAACAAAAAATACTATAAGAAACGCGTGTATAATCTTGCCTTTAAACCATTGCACGTGTTTTAAATACTTGGTTATACACTTATTGCTTAATTATTTAATTAACACCTAACTGGGTACGAATAGAAAAAGTTATCATGAGAAATCTTAAATCCCAGATCGTAATTTGGGCTCGACTAATCACAAAGCTAATCATTTACACAAAACGCAACTTTCATTAGTTAATAAATCTGTAAGAACGAAAGCCACTCAGAGCCTAATGACAAATACCACGCACGTGCGATTGATTGAAAAAAATTAGTTAAATAAAGTTTTAATTACCTTAGAGTTAATAAGTCAACATCCGGCCATAACTGCGATTTTTCTTTAAATGACACATTAACACCAAGTAATCTTGCTTATGTGCTTCACTTTATTCTTGATTTAACGACCCTGACTTTGATGCAAATTAAATTTGAAATGTGGCTTTTTGGTGGTGGATAACTACATTTTAACGGGTACTTGAAGAACTGTATAGGAAGGCTTCACCTAAGCGATAAACGCACAATAGACATAACTCTCGAACTACTTACACGACGCTTACTGCGCACTGTCAATAAATGCCAGTCTTTACTTTCGCAACATACACTTGCTTATTTTAAAGATAATTAGCTTTGGCGCCGCGATAACGAACTTCTTATCGCAAAACCGGATTTGAAATGAGATAAACTATTAAAAAGAACACCACGCAACTATTTCCAGGTATCCCCAACTCGATCATATGACTTGACTCCATGCGACTTTTTTGTGGGGTTATGTTAAGTCACAAGTCTACGAGAACAAACCCCAAAGTTTGACGGAATCTAAGCGTGAGATTCAACGTGTTGATGTGGATGTAGGTATGTGATCGGGTTGTGGTGAATTTCATGGACCAAATAATTACGTGCAGGCCTAGTAGGGGAGGTCATTTGCTCGGTATGGCTTTTCACGTTTGAAACCTCAAGATCACCTGAAGCGAGTGGTGTGATTTTTTGCTTTTTACGAAGATTAATTAATTTTACAACCCTTTCAATTGGGACGGGAAAAATTGCCTTTAAAAGTAACATGGCACCTTTTGTACTAGAAACATAAAAGAAAAACATAGGTGTCAAGGTTAATTATTAGTGACCTTCTACGATGTGAACGGTTACAGGAAATAGGGTGCAATTAATGACGTTAATCTTTTATACACACACAAAGAATATAGTTCAAACTAATAGCTTTCAATATGAAGTGCTTTTACTCATTCAATTCACTTTACGTCATTTCTTACTTCTTTTCCAGAGAAACATCAAAACCGTTTCTACAAAACTAGAGCTACCCAACGTTATTGAACGATAATTTTAGAAATGCACATCAAAGTCTTGCATTCCCATATTTTCAATAGGGCATCTACAAGCGATCAATTGATAACTTCACAACTTTGTGCAGGTAGCCAATTTGTCGTTAACAACGTCACTATACGCGCTGCAGTTGAGGTAGGTAAGTGCTTTTCTTAGCTTTGTTTCTGTTGGTAGCGCCGATCGTATTTTCACGCGCGGATTAAAATCTGCGAAAACTTCACAATCTCGAAACGCAAATTCAGTCGGGCGTTTCTCTTTCCAATAAATAAAAATCTGCCTGTTACCCGATAACAAATGTGGTTTTTATACATTTTGATTATCCGCGTCTACGTTGAGCTATAATCGCGCGGAAATCAAGGCAGATTTTTATATAAACTGGTTTTTCAACATGCTACAACCCCAATTATGCGATAAGAATCGAAATTCTCTTCTTGCAAAGATGTACAGGATGTAACAATTAAGGGTGGTAGTAGAAGGAGCCAAGTAAGCATTCTTTCGAAATAAATAATTGATGGGATAAGACTACTTTCCGAAAAGATGTTTCATTTGGGAAATACATTCCGCATGGCATTTTGGAATTAACTGCTTTACCTAGGTCTTTATGTGTATGTTCTTTCCGATAATATAAAATCAATTTGCGCATGTGCGACCACCTCCTGTAACTTTGTAAGGCCGAGGGGGGTGAACGGTGAAAATGTTACTTCTATATAGAAGTAGATTACGAGTAGAGCGAGGCCCTTCAGGCATTAATCAACCAATTATATACCGAGCCCTGCGGCTTGGGGAGTTTTTCTTTGATTGTTTTCAGGATTGGATGCGTGAACTGACCTCACTTCTTGTCGTCAACGGCTACGTTTATTCAAGGTAAGGGTCGCCTAATGTGTTTTATTTGTACTTGGTCGTATACGTGCAAATTTTTTCCCGGAACAAGAATTGGGAAAACGTAACGTTAAAAAAATGCATTATCTATATTACTAAATGTAAGAAAACATGTGATTACGCCATGCTACAAATTAGTATTATGCTATTATCTTATCTTAACATTTCTGGTAAAAATAAGGACTTGGAAAATGATTTATGGAATGTAAACTGTCAACAAGTTTAAGAGTATAATGTAAATGATTATATGCTGTAATCACCTCGGTTTTCGAAGTTTCAATTCTCGCTGGAGCGGGGGTAACTTAGCTAGGTAACTACGAGCAACGCTACTGACTAGTGGGCTTCTTCTAATCCCCTTTATATTTTTACAGATATTGAAGTAGGTATGAATTCTAAAAACAACCCACTTAATAATTTGTGTTTGATGTGCAGCTGATGTTCTATTATACTGATTCACAAATAAATAATAATTTGAAATGTTAACTGATTTCCCTCCGAAAAGTGCAAAAGAGGCGGCTAAAAACTGGATACCATGCTACAAATGCTGCGAAACTCCAGGTACTGCCACATACTCGTACTATCTGATTATAAACCCCTTTTATTTGGTATTCCGATAAACGCACCTGAAAGTAATAAAATATAACGAAATTGTTTGCACAAACTTTTACACACCTACGGTTCGATCAACACCATCAGTAGGACAAACCTGCACAAAACCGGAGCTTGTTAAATAAGGGGAAAGGATACTTATCCGTGTATAAAAAATGTAATAAAATTTTAATTTTCCACGCCAAAAATACTCCTTTCTTAAGAGCGGCAGCGGCATCACGAGATCCTGATCTTCCCATGAGACCTCAAATCTTTTACGGATTTTCGATGACAACGTTTTTACGATCATCTCGGGATACGAAAAGGCCTACATTAACACTGCTTCGAGCTTTCAAAGATTTTTTACCGGTTAAAATCTTACAAAGTATCAAGATTTGACGGTCATCTAGGGATTTGGCCCTTGCTCGCTTTAACGTAAATGCGCATTTTATTGGATTCTAATAAAATTTATATCCATCCAACTTGAACTAAGAATTACTCGAATTGATTGTACACTCGCATTCTGTTTAATTAATATAAATCCCCGACATAATCTGCGTCGAATTTGGTATCATCGACTGCCTATTTTTCGTTCTAGAACATTTATCGTTTTGCAGACTAATGAAATCTTCTCTTGTTGCACGCTGCTATTTTTATGGGTTACTATAAAAGTAAAAATTTGGTATATAAGTAAAATGAGGTGTAAAAGCAAACTGCTTTATTCTTCAGACATATGCAGGAGTTATAGGAAAATACTGTAAGTAGTGTGAGTTCAGATTAATATTAATTTGATAGTTGACTTTGCCTTTATACAATCTTGCTGTTCCCTTTCTGATTTTATTAAATCAGTCATTAATAATTTCACCACCAAACAAACCCCAACAAACGATTATAAAGACTACCTTAAACCTTTGAATATAAAATATTTTATATTCAAAGCTTAAACTATATCCAAATGGTATGTATGGCGACTTACTTACTTAAAGCAGCGATCTAAAAATAAACGTGCAACTGCACCCGCCGACGATTCGATTAGCACTGAAAATTCCACTCCTTACTTCGGGAATAGAGTAAACAACGTTCAATCTTTTCAATATTTCAATACTTGGAAATCTACCATGCCGTGTGCTGTCAGGATGCGCGGTGTTTGTTGTGTTAAGGCCGCTTGACATGGAGCAATACTACGCGCAAGAACTTGCAGAAAGAAATTGCAAGGTCAAATCCTTGCATGCAATAAGCATTGCATGGTATTTGACATGGTGCAATTCTATTTCAATTGCCACATGTCTGCCAACAGAAGAAACATATGGATTTGTCAACAAAGTAGTTAACCTCAAATGAAAATTAAATTTTGATTGCTTGAAGAAACGTGAAAATTACAAGAATAAATAAGATTAATAAAAACAAGTAATGAGTGCGTCTCTCAGCATCATAGTTGCCGCCGCTGTATTTTACTAGGTTGGTGACACAAAAACAACTAGATTTATCCCTAGAATTGCACGATTCATGCAAGAAAAATAGCACCGGTCCTATAAAAATTGCATGCAAGTCTCTTGCAGCAATTGATCAGCTGGCTTTGAACTGCGCATGCCTTTCGCAATTTTTCTTGCAACTTGCATGCAATTGCAATTTTTATTGCTCCATGTCAAGCGGGCTTTACACAGAAAACAAATACGTCAACTTGTTCAATGTTCCATTTTGAAAATCTTAAAAAAAACAGGCATTACATTTGAAAAACAGAACTTCCCGCGATCGGATAGATCGTAATGTCACATACAAAATTATATTTATTATTTAAATATATATCTCGAACACACTGT